CAGGCTGCAGCCGAGCACACAGACTGGGATGGGATTCTTGCTGGCCCAGAAGGTAGGTAGGAGTGAGGAATGCCTGCACCTCCATTCACCAAGATGGTATGGGGTATAAGAATAACAAGGGGAATGTCACACCTTTCCAGTCATCAGGGTCCAGAATGTCTGTGGGGTTCCCAGCAAGTGAAGCCTGTTCTTAAGTCCATGTAATCTGGGAAAACACTGTCATTTTAAATATCCAAAAAGGTCAAACCACTCCTAAACTTTCAAAATGGCTGTGCCCTCCTGACAGGTAAAAATCCACAGTTCAGTCCACCTTCCTTTCCACTGCTTCTCCTTTCATTCACCAGCCACACCAGAGCAGTCCTTCATGCAATCCCTGGCTAGCAAGGCTGATTTTTAGGTTAGTTCTTAGGTCCTACCACCACTCGGCAATATCAAAGCTGTCTGTGCTGTCAGGATTGCTGCCAGACCGCAGCTCCATATGTCTCTTTTTTGTGTTTTCATGCAAATTCTTCTGCTAGTTGGAGTTTAGTCTGCTTCTACAGCCTTCCCTTCAAGGCTCAGGGGTCCAGGATTATCTTCTGTATCTGTGTTAATTGGTTCTCCTTTTCTTTGTTGAAGAGGATCTGTGCAGTCTTTCTGCCTAGTCTGACATCTTACTGGAACTCCTCAAGATTCCCTTTTAAATGTACAGTCAAAGAAGGAGACCCAGGAGCAGTCAAGCCACAGGCCAATAAAAATGACCATCACCCCCTGAGCCATTGGCTACAGCCACTGAGATGACAGTGAGAGAAGCCTGCCTCAGGACCAAAGGTGGAAGACATCCTCCTTTGACTTCAGGACCCAAATAAAAAAGCTCTCTTGTTTTTTAAGACTAATGTAAAAACTACTCAAGCTGGTAAGTTGGAAAGGTCTAGGATAGGCTGTCCCCCTTTACCCTGCCCACTTTATTTGTTTAAACTTTTTATTGTGATTTGGGTGAAATTTTAGAGAGCAGATTTGTTTTACATTCACCAGTTCATACACACTTTATTTTGTGACCTTGCCCACTTTAATTGCTCCAACTCAAGCTGTTCCAGGCACTGAGACATCATGTCCAAAGGGTAGAGGAGAGAACACATAGTAGGTTAGAGGAATTAAAAGTGGTTTACTGTGGGTAGGTTAGAGAATGCAAAGAGGCGAGGAGAAGCCAGTCATGATAGGTAATAAAAATCCGACTTAGCCCAAAAGTAGTTCAGACTTAATTTTTAGATGGGGAAACTATCTGGTCATTTTTTTATAGCATTACAGAGTTTCCAGACCAAGACAAACTAAGAAAAACGGTTTAGTGATCTACTGTTGAAAACTTAAAAAAAAAAAAAAAAAAAACACCTCATTCCCATCAAGTCAATTCAACTCATAGCAACCCTTCCTTGGGTTTCCACGGTGGTATCTCTACAGAAGTAGATTGCCCAGTCTTCCTTCTAAGGAGTGGACAGTAGGTTTGAACCTCCAGCTTTCTGGTTAGCAGTCAAATGCCTTAGGCACTAAGCCACCAGTCTCCAAACTCATCCAGAAACAGGAACATAATTCTCTCAGATAGAGGTCAAGCAGCTTCATAGTGCCTACTTGGAGATCAGCAAAGCTGATTCAACCACTGCCCTGCCATTAATTTTTTGGTCCATCCCTGGGTGGAAGTCTAGATGTCTTCTTCCCTGACCTTCTCACTAACACAAATGAAGAGAGCTGGGAGTATTCCTAATAGGGGAATAACTCAACACCCACAAACACTTTTGAGTCCCTATCACATACCCATTTCTATGACAGACCCATATCCCTGACCAGAACCACAGCTGCCAGAACCAAAGAAAACTTGACAGATACGTTTTTTACATCTGACCTCATTTGCTGCTTGTTCCAAAAGTAGCTTCTTATCTGCAGTCTTGAAGGACTCAAGTGTATTGGTGTTATACAGTGTTCCCACAGCTGGGCAGCAATGGGCTGGGGTGGGAGCATTCCTAGAGACAAGAGACACATGATTAACCAGGCACAGCTGGGATTCAGAGAAGGCCAAAAAAAAAAAAGCAAAACACACACAAAAAAAACCTACTGCTGTCAAGTCCATTCCAACTCTTAGCCACCCTATGTGTCAAAGCAGAACTTCTCCATAGGGTTTTATTAGCTGTAATCTTAACAGAAAGGAGCTCCAGTCATGCAATGGTTAAGTACTTCACTACTAACTAAAAGTTTGGTGGTTCAAACCCACCCAGCAGCTCTGCAGGAGAAAGACCCGATGATCTGCTTCCACAGGGATTTAAAAAAAAAACAAACTGACTGCCATTGAGTTGTTTCCGACTCATGGCAACCTCCATTTGGGTTTCCAAAACTGCAAACCTTTATGGAAGCAGATCACCCTGTCTTCCTTCCGAGGAGTGACTGGTAGATTTGAACCACTGACCTTCTAGTAAGCAATCAAGTACCTAATCATTATGCCACCAGAGCTCCTTCCATAAGGATTACAGCCAAGAAAACTCTATGGAACAGTTCTACTCTGTCATATGGCATCAATGTGAGTCAGAATCAACTAGCTGGCATCCAACAACAATCTTAACACACACAGACTGCCAGGCCTTTCTTACATGGTACCACTAGGTGGCTTCGAACTGCCAACCTTTTGGTTAGTTGTGTGCAAATCATTTGTGCCACCTAGGGATAGAGAATACCAGTAAGTGACAAACAAAACCACCTTAGTAGTGGGAGCGAAGGGATACTGCTCTCCTGGGCAAGTAGAAGATTGTTTGTTTCTTTGTAGAGAAGCAAATATTATCACTGTTTCCCCTAAAAGCCTATATATTCCCTTTATCCTAACCACTCAGCATGCCATTCTTTTACTCTTCCCCTAATATCATTTCCAATTTTTATTCTTTCTGACCTTCAAATGAAAGAGAAACACTATTTATTGAGCTTCTACCATACCATGAACGATGCAAGGTTTTCATTTAATTCTCCTAGCAGTTGTTTCCTCCATTTTAAAGAGAGGATATAAGACTCAGAAAGTATTAGATAACTAGCCTAAGGTCATATAATAATAGAGCTAGAACCTAAAACCAGAACTATTTAACTCCAAGGTGTGCTGCCTATTCTGTATTCAAACCCTCCCAGGTTTTAAGGCCCAGCTCCAGTGCTTCTGTCCCAGAAAGCCATCTCACTATCATCTCTGGTAATACTTGGTACATAAAACTAAGCATAATATTTAGAGCATTTTCAAGAACAATAATGATGTACACTCAACTGAAAGATAGTAAGCTTCTTGAGGGCAGGGAACATGTCTTCTCCTTCTCTGTTCTCTGTTTTTAGGTGCCGTTGAGTTGGCTCCAACTCATAACAACCCTAAGCACAACAGAAGGAAACACTGCCTGGTCCTGTGCCATCCTCACAATCCTTGCTATGCTTGAGCCCATTGTTGCAAGCCACTATGTTAATTTAATCTATCTCATTGGTGATCTTCCCCTTTTTTGCTGATCCTCTACTTTACTAAGCATGATATTCTTCTCCAGGGAATGGTCCCTTCTCACAACATGACCAAAGCCAGTGAAACAAAGTCTGCCCATTCTCACTTCCAAGGAGAATTCCACCTGCATTTCTTCAAAGATAGATTTGTTCATTCTTCTGGGAGACCAATAGCACAATTCAAAGGCATCATGTCTTCTTTGGTCTTCCTCATTCATTGTGCAGCTTTCACATGCATAGGAGGCAACTGAACATACCATGGCTTGGGTTAGGTGCACCTTAGTCTTCTAAGTGACATTTTTGCTCCTTAACACTTTAATGGGGTCTTCTGCAACAGATTTACCCAGTTCAATACAACGTCTGATTTCTTGACTGCTGCTTCCATTGGTGTTGATTGTGGATCCAAGTAAAATGAAATCCCTGACAACTTCAATCTTTTCTCCATTTATCATGATGTTGCTTATTGGTCCAGTTGTGAGGATTTTTGTTTTCTTTATGTTGAGGTGTAATCCTTACCAAAAACTGTAGTCTTCATCTTCATCAGTAAGTGCTCCAAGCCATCTTCACTTTCAGCAAGCAAGGTTGTGTCGTCTGCATATGGTAGGTTATTAATGAATCTTCTTCCAATCTTCATTTCATGTTCTTCTTCATACAGTCCAGCTTCTAGAATTATTTAATCAGCATACAGATTGAATAAGTATGGTGATGCATAAACTTCCTGATTTTAAATCAACCAGTATCCCCTTGTTCTGTTAGAATAACAACCTCCTAGTCTATGTACAGGTTCCTCATGAGCACAATTAAGTGTTCTAGAATTTCCATTCTTTGTAATGTTATCCATATTTGTTATGATCCACACAGTCAAATGTCTTCACATAGTCGATAAAAACACAGGTAGACAACTTTCTGATATTCTGTTTCAGCCAAGATCTATTTGACATCAGCAATGATAACCCTCATTCCACATCCTCTTCTGAATCTGGCTTGAATTTTGGGAAGTTCCCTATCAATATACTGCTACAACTGTTTTTGAATTATCTTCAGTAAAATTTTACTTCCATGTGCTATTAATGGTATTGTTCAATAATTTCCACATTCTGTTGGATCTTCTTTTTCTAACTTTAAAAACTATTTTTAATTATGTAAATGATATATATTTACATTTTTAAAAATCCATGCAAGACAGGTAAAACTTAACAGCCTTCTGCCTAACCACCCCCCTCACCTCCCCAGTCCTCTCCTAGTGGTAACTACTGGGGTTTGGTGCAAGCCCTTATACATGGTTTCCTCTGTACTGTACATATACAGACAAAGAGAAAAAGTGTGGTCTTTAGTTTGTTTTTCTTTTAACTTGGTAAACTATGGTTTGTAATTTTCTTTTCTCATTTAATAATATGACTAGGAGATAGTCCAATTTCTCTACCTATAGATCTACCTCATTTTTTTTTTTTTTTTAAATTGTGATTTGGGGGAAGATTTACAGAGCAAATTCACTTTCCATACAGGAGTTCACATATATTTTGTCTCATGTTATTGACCACAGTTTACCACAATGCAACAGCTCCCCTCCCACTTCCTCCCCACAGTTACCTCTTCCCAGTGTCCATCTCTCCATACACTCCTGCCCCCTGAGCTGTCTCCCTGTGCATAAGCAGCCCTTCTTTCTCCCATGATTGTTCTCTCCAAGGAGTGTATCTACTTGAGGTAAATGTTCAACTCATATGCCTGTATTTTGTTTGGCTGAAAACCACAGGTGTGGGTTCAATTTGGATCATCATTTTTTAGAATGCGCACAAATATCTCTATCTCTTCCAGTCAGTTGGCCAAGCAGCTGTCTTCCAAATTTCTTGGCACAAACTGAGTAAGCATCTCCAATGCTGCATCCATCTGTTGAAACATCTCAATGACTGTTCCATCAATTTCTGGAACCTTGTTTTTCACCAATTCCATCAGTGCTACTTCAACGTCTTCCTTCAATGCTATTGGTTCTTGGTAACATGCTACCTCCTGAAATAGTTCATTATTAACTAATCCTTTTTAGTACAGTGACTACGTATTCCTTCCATCTTCTTTTGATACTTCCTGCATCATTCACTATTTTGGCCATAGAATCCTTCAATATTTCAACTCAAGGCCTGAATTTTTTCTTCAGTTCTTTTAGCTTGAGAAATGCCAAGCATGTTCTTCTTTTTGGTTTTCTAACTCCAGGTCTTTGTACATTTCGTTCTAATACTTTACTTTGTTTTGCAAATTGCCCTTGGAAATCTTCTGCTCAGCTCTTTTATTTCATCATTTCTTCCATTCACTTTAGCTACTCTTCTACAATGTAACCCACCCAAACAAGGCTCTGCACTGAACTGTTGTTGAGTAAACCCCTGGTAGCTGAGTCATATAAACAAAATGTACTACACCTGGCCTACCTTTCAATCTATCATGCCACAAGGTTTACATTCTACACTGCCCTGGAAGGCCTTACAGTCTTCAGAGAACCAAAGTCAAGGGAGGAGAAGAGGAGTTGATTCTGAATACAAATTCAGATGTGGTAAAACCTGATCTCTTCTCTAACATGATTAACTTCTGTTTCAGAGCTTACAGATGCTAAATGAAAATACTCATTTCATTAGTACCCTAATATTATTGTCATTTACAGCTAATAAAGAGTGAGTACATTTTTACTGACTGCACTAAAAAAAACCCAGGGCCCCAAACATCTCCCTATTCAGAGTCTTTGTACAATTGGGTTTAGTGGGGTTGCAGGGAGAATAGATCAGGGTCCAGAACAGGTGTGGCGGGGTGCAATGGGCGATGATGGCTGTCTGTAAAGCTCAAACACCAAGACCTGGAGTAGGGGGGCATCTCTCAACTGAACAGCTTTCCCTTAAGAGCTGTTCAGACAACAAATGCCAAGTGTTTATCACCACTCTCCTCCAATAAAACAGTTTCATGCAGGTGACATGAGGATATCAAAGACTCTTGAAGATGAAAAGAAATCACAAAGAGGCAAGATTAAATCTAGGGAGAAGAAGGTGGTGCAGAGAATTGACAAACTATGCCTTCTGCATCCAGACATGGCTTTCTGAAATGACTGCTGAAGCAGAATGCTGGCACAGAAAGAAGATGGAGGTGCTGCATTCAGACCCAATTTAATCTGGAGAGAAGCACAAGAGCAAGATGGTGCGAGTTCAACAAGGCATCCCCCTATGTAAATGTCCAAATGTCTCCAGGTGTGGTAAAGTCATGGCAAAGCCTTGCTCTAAGAAAGGAGGAATTCAAGTACCTGTCAAGACAATTGGACTCCTAGGAAAATCAGCATTCATGCAACTTAATTACTTGAGGACAACCTTAAGTTTTGAAGGCAAGCCATTGTTCATGACTAAAGTTCCATCCTGTTGGCACAACAGTTAAGCAATCAGCTGCTAACTGAAAGGTTGGTGGTTTAAACCCAACCAGTGACTCCATGGGAGAAACACCTGTGACTCTGCTCCCAGAAAGATAACTAGCCAAGAAA